AGTATAAATAAAGTTAGTTTAGTTTATGTTTCCTCCTGTAGTAACACTGGATCAATAAGAGATGATCCTTACTGGACCTCTAGGAAGAACAGTTTAGAACTGATAGAGCTATCCAGTATAAATAAAGTTAGTTTAGTTTAGGTTTCCTCCTGTAGTAACACTGGATCAATAAGAGATGATCCTTACTGGACCTCTAGGAAGAACAGTTTAGAACTGATAGAACTATCCAGTATAAATAAAGTTAGTTTAGTTTAGGTTTCCTCCAGAAGTAACACTGGATCAATAAGAGATGACCCTTATTGGACCTCTACTGAAGAACAGCTTAGAACTGATAGAGCTATCCAGTATAAATAAAGTTAGTTTAGTTTAGGTTTTCTCCTGTAGTAACACTGGATCAATAAGAGATGATCCTTACTGGACCACTAGAAAGAACAGTTTAGAACTGATAGAGCTATCCAGTATAAATAAAGTTAGTTTAGTTTAGGTTTCCTCCTGTAGTAACACTGGATCAATAGGAGATGATCCTTAATACTGGACGTATAGGAGAACAATTTGGAACTGATAGAGCTATCCCGTAGAAACACTGAACTAAGAAGGAGAAGAATTATTGACTGATATTTTATCTAAATGTTGTAGGTATTCGGTGAAATGCCTCTGTCTGGAATTGACGAGAGCGTAAAGCAAGCTATATTACAAAGAAACACTTTTGAAAATATCGACTTGGTTAGTTCAGTTACTACATTGAGATCAAGGCGCGGTTCTCATGTCACTGGGGCGAATGGGGCGAGTTTCTTTGGTTCCGCTGTCCCAGGTACCGCAGGCTCAGGTAATGCCGCTGTTGTTCATAACGCAGGCTCACGACGGCAGTCTCGAGTCCAATTTAGTGACCTCCCGGCTCAGACTTTAGATTTACCTGGCTCAAGTAACGGTATGCCGGGGGGGAGTTCGTTAGTTTGATGTTTGTAGATAAGCATTTTTATTTGTCACCTTATATTTATGATAGGTGGGTTTTATTAAACACTCTCAGGAAGCAGATGGCGTAGGGTGTGATAATTCAAGATTTTTAATCGTACGTGACTGGTACGGCAATGATTATCGTCGCGTACTTGCGCTAGTACAAACTTAGACTTGCTCCAAGTCTCTCTTTCGTTGTCATATAGTATCATAGGTATTGTATATAAGATATCTATGTATAGTATCGATCCACTATAGTGTACATTACATGTACAAACTTAATACTCAATTTGCGCTTAGTCATTGAAATAAAGTACATGTCATACAGGTTTATGTTTGAGTTAGAAGAAGAAGCACAATCGCATATACAAACAATCGACTCCAACATTCAATAGCGCCATCAGTCTAATCATGTTTCATGCCAAGACATCTCAGACTCATGATTACTAACTGAATTACGGTATTAAATACCTTGCGCTTGGTAAGGTCATATGGTACCAGCAAAATGTAAGTACGCAGATAGCAAGAGTTCCGCGTATAGCAAGAGTTCCGCGTACCTGCGTGGTACGTGGCTGAAAACAAAGGAGTACCAGACCGTAATATTGGCGTACCTCCGGTTACGTATAATTACGAATTACCGCACCCTGGGTGGTCAAAATGCATGCAGTTACAGTATCAGATTGAGAATATAATATTAATTTTTTTCATATATATAGCAGTCTTGCCCCTATTTACATAAGTGTGAAGTTGACCCGTCATCTGCTGTCTTGTGTAATGCTTTCTAAAACCCACTGCGCTTTTGCTGGTCAAAAGTGTGTTGTTAGTCTACCATTGCTTTTTCCCGAGGCCATCATATTATTATAGGTCTTATATAGATTCACTTTTAGTCTAAAGCCCTGGTCAAACGAGAATAAGAGTTTGCATGAGAGTTGAGAAGCGAGAGTTTGCATAAGAGTTTTCTCAACTCTCATGTTCCCGGTAAAACGAGAACAAGAGTTGCATGAGAGTTGATGAGAGTGAGAAGCGAGAGTTTGCATGGCAGTTTTCTCAACTCTCATGCCCCAGTCAAACGAGAACAAGAGTTGCATGAGAGTTGCATGAGAGTTGACGAGAGTTGAGAAGCGAGAGTTTGCATGAGAGTTTTCTCAACTCTCATGCCCTGGTCAAACGAGAACAACTGAACAAGAGTTGCATGAGAGTTGACTGGATATTACCGAGCACGTAGCCAAACTACTTATCGACTCCCATCAAAGTTTGAACCTGTTCAAAGTAGATGAGAGTTGATAAGAGTCGATATTAACAACTGTCGTCAACTCTCGTCAGCTCTCATCCACGTGAGTTGACCGAGACTTCAGTTGACCGAGACTTCAGTATCTTTCTTTCGTTTCGAAAAAAAACTAGGCTGTATAAATGCACGTGTATATTCACTGGAAGGAAGCAGAAATGTATACATGCTTCTTATGAATAATCCTTTTGTACCACGTAGGTTCAATCTCATCTTATAGGAGCTTGAACAAACTCAGTTATCATTGTACAGTATCATGTATTTATACTAATATTTTATGTAACCATAAGCTATTTTTGTAACTAATTTATTTAATATTTATATTACCAAATCTGTAACATGTTTAACCCTGCATATACAGCAATTTGGAACTGGCATGTTACAAAATAACCTGCTCTTATAAGAATCAATAGCCGTTATTAGCTGATTTCATAGCCGTTATTATCATTAGTGAACGGCTGTCAGTTCAAGTCTTTGATCCCCACTGATGCAATAGCACGATTACATATGATACGTGAGTTAATTTAGATCATATTTCCACTGATATGTGTCTTAGAAAAACAATTGTAGAAAATCTAGCATTCTTGTCATTTTATGGCAAATGTATCACGTTAAATGTTTCCTAATATATAGCGGTTGATTCTCGTATTTCCGCAAGTAGTGGTCTTGGAAAAGTTGAAATACACGTCTTTTTGAGGTAGCAGTCTTAAAATACACGTAGATATATTAGATTAGCGCTAGCCTAAATGGCCCGGCCTTACCTCAGCGTAAGGAGAATCTCACTACCTACACTGAGAACCAACAGTTTGAAGTTTAGACTAGTGAGAATCTGTCACAAAGGACGTGTATTTCAAGACCACTACATACACTGGGAACCAACAGTTTGAAGTTTAGACTGGTGAGAATCTACCACAAAGGATGTGTATTTCAAGACCACTAACTACACTGAGAACCAACACTTTGAAGTTTAGACTAGCAAGAATCTACGACAAAGGACGTGTATTTCAAGACCACTAACTACACTGAGAACCAACACTTTGAAGTTTAGACTAACAAGAATCTACGACAAAGGTAGTGTATTTCAAGACCACTACCTACACTGAGAACCAACAGTTTGACGTTTAGATTAGCGACAATCTACCACAAAGGGCGGATACGTCTCAGCTTTAATAGTGATTATTTACTGAAAGAGTGGCCGCGGCCCACTCCTTGGTAACACTTCAAAGTTACCTCAGGTATTGCAAGCACTTACACCACTTCCGTTATATTGACCCTTTATATTTGAACCAGGAAATTGGCGTGTTAAATAACATCGCCTAAAATAAGGGAAGAAGATTTGGCGATTTTGAAACCAAGAGAGTCCGTGTTCATTTGGCATTTGACAATAAAAAAATAACTAGATTGTTTTGCGAATTGATGAGCTATATATAAAGGGACACTGTCTGGCTAAACATTAATGTCTAGCACCTTAATTTCCTTGACGACAGGTAAAATTGTCTGGCATTAGACAGAGTAAAATAATATTCAATGTCATGTTTCGCTCGCTACTCTGGTTTAAATAAATGATTACAAAGCCCAGTCGAATTGTAATCAAGACCCAACGTTTCGACACTCCAGTCTAGTGTCTTCATCAGGGGTTTAGTTTAGTTTAGTTTAATGAAATATGTCACATTACATTACATTGCGAATTACAAATTACAAATAAATACAGGACTTGCATGCAACACCTAAACTAACAATGACACAAAGACGGAGTGACAGGAGAGGAAAACAGGACTAACGTCCCA